TGAGCTGCTAATCTCCTTGGCTAAAACCAGCAACTCGTGGCCTTGCGTTGCAGGCGAGGGACGTCTGGAGCTGTGCCAGAAGACTTCAGGCGAGCTTGCGCTATGTCCTGCTGCAGGGGTTGTTTTTTGTCGGGACATTCCCTATATCAGAATCTTGGCATAAGTTCGGCTGTTGCTCCTCGGCTGTTAGAATGGCACGTTGCTTCAGTGTGTATGTTGTTGAGCAAGTGGCAGATCTGACTGACTTTCTCGTAACACAGACCCGAGGCGAGCATTGCAATATTTCCTGAAATAAATGTCACCAGCTACATCATACACGTGTTAATCCCGAAATTATATGGAAGCCTAAAGCACTTACTGCAGAACCTGTGCGTGTGTCTAACATTAAGCCACATGTCCAGTCAGTTGCAGCATAGCCTGGATGAAGCCATCAAGCCACAGAAATGTCGTTCTTCAAGCAGGATCCGAGCCTCAGTTAATGTCTGGGGAATCTAATATAGTTTCGGAGTTTAGGGTTTAGGGATTGTGGTGATGCTGAATTCCCACATCATGATGCTGAGTTACCACTTAATTATCGGCAAGGTGCTGCAGAAGTACCTGTCCTGGTCCTTTCGACCATAAAGTGCTTCGGGATATGTANNGGAAAAATCCTAGTTTCACTGAACCTACCTGGCAATGTAACAGGGAAGAACTGTTGTTCTTTGTTTCTCTTCAGCCCTAATGCTTCTCCTGTACGAAATAGTGCTTGTGCAGCACCCGAATGGTACTTGTGCCAGCACCACAGCTAAGCCCTTCTACCCTAATTTGTAATTAAAACCCACACCAAACTTTTTAGACCCGACGGCTGGCAAGATGCTCTATCCATCAGAACCCTACCGTCCTAGCCTTGCTTCTGCGGCAAAGGTACTTGCACAGCACCTATTAGAGTGGTACTTTACCCTAAACCCTGAACCCCAAGCCCAGCACCACTGCAAACTAAACCATAATTCTAAACCCAGCCCTTCTTTCAGAAACCCAGCAACGCCTGGCCAGGTTTTGCAAATTCATTGCGGCCCATGCCTCAGGCAATGCCAACAGGCTGATCATTCGACCTAATTTTGTAATAGCTAGTGCTCCAACACTTGCCTTTGCATCTTGAAGTAGCACTATCTCGCAAACCTGCCCTTGCATCTCGAGAACTTAAGTTTCCGAGACGGGGGGGCAAGTTTTCGAGACAACAGTCATGTAAGCTCCTGTGCAACGATCAGCCTGCTGGTTTCAACGAACAGCCTGCTGCTTTCCGAGGCATGGGCTCCAGCTGGAGCTTCTGACACTCGGCGAAGAGCCTGGCCAATTCACTCGTGCTTAAGTTCTGGGGCTAACTTAGGGCATTTAGGGTTTAAGTTGTTGGGTCCTGTAGGTTTTAGGGGGAGGGTTTCAGTTCTGGTGTGTCGCAGGTTTTAGGAATTGCGGTGCTGCCGAAGTACCAGATGGTGCTGCAAAAGTACCTAGGGCTTTTCAGAATTTGACAGGGGCTTCAAACGGCTTCAGACTTCCGTTCACGAAAAGCTTCAGGAACCACTGCTTGCTACTACGGGCATTATGATACAGTTCTCTCGTCGTTTCGCTCGAAGCAAACGCACATTATGGTCCAATCCTCCAAGTCTTCCCTCGGCCCAGATCCAAGCACCGACGTGCTCCTAGACCAGTAACCCAAAAATCCCAAGCCTATTAACACGAACCTCTGGAAAGCTCGAACCATAAGGTACTTTTGCAGCACCTAGGGCAGGTACGTCAGCAGCACCTTCAGGTCCTAGGCCCCGAACCCGAAAATCCCAAGCCTATTAATACGAACCCGCAAAGCTCGAATCACATATAGGTACTTTTGCAGCACCTAGAGTCCTAGAGCAGGTACTTCAGCAGCACCTGAAGGTCCGAGACACCAAAACCTAAAATCCGAAGCAACAGCAAGAGCCAAGCCCGAAACTCTGAGCAACTTGTGCCGAGGCTGGGCCCAGAATTGGCCTGCCACAAGCAGGGACGAGGCTGCGGCCTTGGCTTCGCTGAAACGAGAGCTACGTATTTCTATGAGGGTATGCCCTCATGTAAGTTGCTGTGCAGAGAACGATCGATCAGTTGCAGAGAAGAGTTCATTCAGCAAAAGCGTCTGTTCGTTGCGAGATATCAACTTCAACAGCCGTCGTCTTGTCTGGCTCCAGCAATGTGGGCCGTGTCCGTGTCCATGCAGTGGATAGCCGTATGATTTTCTCAGCTTGGCAACACCACCTCTAACCTAGGCTTACAGCCACCGGCCAGCAGCAGCAGCATCAGCGGCACTAGCAGCGTAAGTGGCAGCGGCAGCATAAGCATAGCAGCAGCAGGCAGCATAGC